CCAAATGATCCTTGGGGCGCATCCAACTTGGGATCCTGTAATTCATGAAAGTGAAATCATCGAAACATAGAACGGTTTGGGTTGGAAAGGACCTTAAGATCATCCAGTTCCAACCCCCTGCCATGGGCAGGGACACCTCACACTAAACCATGGCACCCAAGGCTCTGTCTAACCTGGCCTTGAACACTGCCAGGGATGGAGCATTCACAACCTCCCTGGGCAACCCATTCCAGTGCCTCAGCACCCTCACAGGAAAGAACTTCTTCCTCATATCCAATCTAAACTTCCCCTGTTTCAGTTTTAACCTGTTACCCCTTATCCTATCACTGCAGTTCCTAATGAAGAGTCCCTCCCCAGCATCCTCATAGGCCCCCACGAAAGGAAATGAAATGAATGTCTTTTAAGAAGCTGTTTACTCTGCCTGGCTCCTGCCTTTCTCAGTTCATTCAATGCTGATCTGCAAAATCCCATCCTCCTCCTCACTCCGTTGTGGACCCCAGGGAAGCAGCTCCCCACTCCCACCAGCGCATCCAAGGGAAAAATGAAGCATTAATGCCCTGAGGATGCTCCCAAGGACTCGGTCCCTCCAGCAGAGGTTTCAGGGATGGGCTGAACCTTTGCAAACAGACAGATTTACCAAACACATTCCATAGGATTTAAATCAAGATGGTGACAAATTGTTTCCTGAACCGCTGGGGCACAGTTGTGTTTTGTTTGTCTCCCTCTATTTATCCTCCTCTATGGATGTCCTCAACATAAAAAGGACATGGAGCTGTTGGAACAAGTCCAGAGGAGGCCACGAGGATGAGCAGGGGCTGGAGCAGCTCCTGTATGGAGCCAGGCTGAGAAAGTTGGGGCTGTTGAGCCTGGAGAAGAGAAGCTGCGTGGAGACCTCAGAGCAGCTTCCAGTGTGTGAAGGGGGCTGCAAGGATGCTGGGGAGGGACTCTTCATTAGGGACTGCAGTGACAGGACAAGGGGTGATGGGTTCAAACTGAAACAGGGGAAGTTTAGACTGGATATAAGGAAGAAGTTCTTTCCTGTGAGGGTGCTGAGGCACTGGAATGGGTTGCCCAGGGAAGCTGTGAATGCTCCATCCCTGGCAGTGTTCAAGGCCAGGCTGGACAGAGCCTTGGGTGCCATGGTTTAGTGTGAGGTGTCCCTGCCCATGGCAGGGGGTTGGAACTGGATGAGCTTAAGGTCCTGTCCAACCCAAACTATTCTGTGATTCTATGTCCTGGCCAGAAAAACCTCGGTGGCTCCTGTGATTGTTTCAAGTTGTCTCCTTGGTGAGGTGACACGGAACAAGACCAGCTTGGTCTCCTTCGGGTTTCCCATTGTCGTGTTATATAGCCCACTATTAGCAAATCACCGATTGGTTTGAGTTGAAGGGACCTCAAAGCTCACCCAGCCCCAACCCCTGCCACAGGCAGGGACCCCTTCCACTGGAGCAGCTTGCTCCAAGCCCCTGTGTCCAACCTGGCCTTGAACACTGCCAGGGATGGGGCAGCCACAGCTTCTCTGGGCACCCTGTGCCAGCACCTCAGCACCTTCACATTAAGGAATTTCTTCCCAGTGCAAAACCCCTGCAAGCCCCAGCTTTCACCCCAGCACCAGTTGGGTGTTTCTAGCCCAGAAAATGCTTTTTGCAATCTATTTTTCCATGAAGCATCCTCTGCATCTCCCTGAGCACATCCCACTGCATTTGTTTGCCCCAGCTTGGGCATCACACTGCGTGCAGGAACTGCAATATATATTAAACAACAATTGCACTCAACTCTTCTGTCTTCCCCAACCACCATCCTAGGTATATTTGTGTGTGTAGGAAATGCTTTGGATGGATTTAAACTTGCTAATGGGGACAGGGCATGGTCCTGCAAGAACACCTCCAGGGTCTGCAGGTTGTGTAGCTCAAAGAGACGGATGATGCTCACATCATTCATTGAGGCACCACATCACACCAATGATTTAGATGGACAATTCCCAGGAGGAGGAGTTGGAGTAATTACCAGCACTCCATAAACTAATAGCTAGAGGAGAAAGGAGAATTCACGTTGCATTTGAGGGGGTTTTCAAGTGTTAAAAGATGGTTAAAGCATCTTTAAAGGCATTGGGTCGTTTTCTGGGAGCTGGAGTAAAGCTGTTCATCAATAATAAAGGAGCTGGAGCAGCAGCAATGCTGGAGCACTCGGGAAAATGCAATTAGGAGAATTGCCTTGTGCTCTGCAAACTGCCCCGGTGATTTGCTTCAAGGAAACATCCAAATGCACTTAAGAGCTCAAAGATTTCATTGCAGCAGATCTAATAAGCTGAGCCAAGCAACCTAAGTACTGGGAGGGGAAAGGAAAAAGGAAGTCTGATGAAGGGCTTTTAATTCATACCCGTCAAAACATGGCATTGCATGGCTGGGAACATCACTTCTGCCTCCTGGGCTCTCCTGCATCTCACCGGTGGCTCCAGTGCTCAAGGGCTCTGCTTTGGTTTATTCATCTTTGATTAAAAGCAACCTCCTGCAAAAGGCTCGTGGGTTGTGGTGTGTTCGGGTGCTCTGCTGGTGTGGTGGCCTTGGGGTGCATCGGGGTTTGAGTGCTCCAGCTGCTGTCCCCAGGCTCTGTGGATGGAATTGGGGCTGTTCAGCCTGGAGAAGAGAAGGCTCCTGAAGGGGAGACCTGAGAGCAGCTCCAGTGCCTGAAGGGGCTGCAGGAAACCTGGAGAGGGGCTTGGGACAAGGGCCTGTAGGGCCAGGCCAAGGGGAATGGCTTGAACCTGCCCGAGGGGAGACTGAGCTGAGCTCTTAGGCAGAAGCTCTTCCCTGGGAGGGTGCTGAGGCGCTGGCACAGGGTGCCCAGAGAAGCTGTGGCTGCCCCATCCCTGGCAGTGTTCAAGGCCAGGTTGGACCCAGGGGCTTGGAGCAAGCTGCTCTATGGAAGGGGTCCCTGCCCGTGGCAGGGGTTGGAACTGGATCAGCTTTAAGGTCCCTTCCAACCCAAACCAGCCTGGATTCTATGACTCTATGAGGAGGACAGTCCTTTATAACTTGAACTCCAGCTCAACTCCATCTCTTCTGCTCCACATTGCTTGGGCAGGCTTAAAAGTGCTGGCAGAAAGGTGATGGCTGCTTTTCCTCTGGTGCAGAGCACTCCCAGCACCATGTCTGCGTGATGCTGGGGAGCACCTCCATGGCAGCACGGGTTTTATCCTGCACCCCAGTCTGTGTAGCCGGATCCTGCAGTGGACCCATGCCTTGGAAGCTGGATGAGGGCGCACATCCTTTGCACACCCTTGCTCACATCACATAGCAGACGTCCTTTGCACATCTCTACACACTCTGTGCATCCCCTGCTCTCAGTGCACAACCTGCACCCCTCTTGTGCACACCCTTGTATCTCCTTAAGCACACCCCTGCACCCCCTTGTGCACCCCCATGAACACCATCTGCACCCCTGTGCACCTCCTTTGCAAACTATTGGCCCCCTATGTCCACTCTGCGCACACCTCTGCACCCCCTTGCACACTCCTGCACCCCCTTGTGCAGCTCTTGCACACCCCTGCACCCCCTTATGCAAACCCTGCACCCTCCACGTGTCTTCCCTGGGCACCACCCACATCTTTGCACACCCCTGCACCCCCTTGTGTGCATCCTGCACCCCCCGTGCACACCCTTGTGCACCCCGTGCACCATTTGCACCCTCCCTGTGCACACTCCTGCACCCGTGTACCCCCTTGCGCACACCCTGCACCTCCGTGCACCCCCCTGCACCCTCCTGTGCACGCACCCTGAACCCCTGTGCACTTCCTCTGTGCACCCCTTACCCTCCGTGCACCCAATTGTGCACCCCTTACCCCCCCCGTGCACCCCTTGCACCCCCTTGTGCACCTCTTACTCCCTGGTGCACCCGTTACACCCTCCGTGCCCCCCTTACCCCCTTGTGCACCCCTTACCCCTCCTGCACCCCCTTGTGCACCCCCTTGTACACCCCCCATGCACGCCCTTGTACACCCCCTGCACCCCTCTTACACCCCCTCTACCCCCTTGTGCATTCCCCTTACACCCCCTTGTGCACCCCCTTACACCCCCATGCACCCCCTTGCGCACTCCCTGCACCCCCCTTACCCCCCGTGCACCCCATTGTGCACACCCATGCACCCCCCTTACACCCCCGTGCACCCCCTTGCACACCCCCGCACCCCTCTTACACCCCCTGCACCCCCTTGTGCACCCCCCTTACACCCCTATGCACCCCCTTGCGCACCCCCTTGCGCACTCCCTGCACCCCCTTACCCTCCGTGCACCCCTTGTGCACACCCATGCACCCCCCTTACACCTCCATGCACCCCCTTGCGCCCCCCTTGTGCACCCCCCTTACACCCCCTGCACCCCCCCTTGTGCTCCCCCTTGCGCACCCCCTGCACCCCCCTTCCACCCCCCGTGCACCCCCTTGCACACCCCCTTGTGCACCCCCATTCCACCCCCTGCACCCCCTTGCGCACCCCCTTGTGCTCCCCCTTGCGCTCCCCCTTGCGCACTCCCTGCACCCCCCTTACACCTCCATGCACCCCCTTGCACACCCCCTGCACCCCTCTTACACCCCCTGCACCCCCTTGCACCCCCCTTACACCCCCCACCCCGCGCCCTCTCCCCCTCTCCTCCCCCCCCCCCCGCCGCCTCCCGCTCTGCCCACGGGCGCCCCCCAGCGGCAGCAGCGGAGCCTGCAGGGGGCGTTCCCCCCCCCACCCCGCTCTGTGGTGGCCGCTCCCGCCTCCGGAGGCCTCGCCTTAGGCGGGCGCGCGTCCCCTCAGCGGGGCGCTCCCGAGCCGCGCTCCTTCTCCTCCTTCTCCTCCTTCTCCTCCTTCTCCTCCTTCTCCTCCTTCTCCTCCTTCTCCTCCTTCTCCTCCTTCTCCCCCTTCTCGTCCCCGCCTTCCCGCTGCCGCCTCCTTTCCCTCCCCGCTCCCGAGGGCCGGGACTCGGGACGCTGCTCGGTCGCTGCCCGTGAGGAAGAGGCGGCCTTCCCCCCCCCCCCCGACATTCCCTCCCCTTTTCCCTCCCCGACCGGGACTCGCCCTGCACCGGGAGGGAGACGATCGCTGCCCGCTCCTCCTTCTCCTCCTTCTCCTCCTCCTGCAGCGGGGGCCGCATCCTGCTGCCGGGGGGAGGGAATTGATGTGGAGACCCAGCGCAGCACCATGCAGCCGCCGCCGAGGAAGGTGAGGGCCCACCCGGGCCGGGGGGGGGGGGGGAGGGGGGGGCTCTGTGTGTGTTGAGGGCTCTATGTGTGTGTATTGGGGGGGGATAAATGGGGCTGGAGGCTGATTTGGGGGTGCTGGTAGCGATAGGATGTGTTTAGGGCAGAGTGGGGGGGGTCTGGGGGTGTAACGGGAGGGGGGATGAAGGGGTTTGAGGGCGCCGGTGGGGAGGGGTGGCCGCAGGTTGGGCTGTGCTATGGTGGAGCATGGAGGGAGGTCGGGTGAGGGAAAACAAGTGTTAGGAGGGACAAGGGGGGTGAACTGGGGGTTGTGGGGCTTTGGGGGGGGGTTAGAAAAGGGAAGGGGGGTCTGGTATGGAGGGGAGCTCTGTGGGTATGGGGAAGGCTGGTGAGGAAAGGGGTGGGCAATGGTTGGCCCGTGGGTTTTGGGGTACCCCCGATACCGGGTGGTGGTGCTCCAGATGGAGGCGAGAAATGGCTGGGCAGGGCTGGAAGGGGGGCAATGGCTGCAGGGGTGGTCAGGCGGCTGTGGGGTGCTATGGGCTGTGTTCTGGGGGCTCAGCTGCATTGGGGCGCTACGGTGCGTTGCTGCCGGCGGCCGTGGGTCGGTTGGCTTGGTGGAGAAGGTCACGTCTGGAGTTGATGCAAGGATGCAGGGTATCCCGGCATGGCTCAGGAGCGACCAGAAATGGGCAACATCGGTGTGATGGGAACAACCTGCAGATGCACCGGGGGGGGGGGGGGCTTTTTTGTGTCCATGGGAATACAGGATGCTTTGCTTTATGGGGGGCTGCTGTGGGAAGGGGTGTAAGAAGAAATGTAGATTTGGAATAAAGACTGTTGCTGGTGCGGCTTCTCTGCGTGCAGGTTGTTCTCTGGGCAACTTGAGCCGTAGTGGGGTCTTGAGCTATGTGCAAGTGCTGATCCATGGAGATTTAGTGGTTAGTTATGCAGTGGTGTGGGGAGAAAGGGAGAGCTGCAGCCGGAGGAGCAGGTCACAGGATGGAGAAGCTGCTCTTTTACAGGCGCCGTGGAAGGGAGTTCTGTGGCTTTGAGCTTGGTGTGTGTTAGATATTCTCTGCTGCCTGATAAGGGCTGTAAGCATTCGCAGCCTGATTTGTTGTAGCTCGATGTTTGAGATCTCGGATGTGAGACGGAGGTTTCTTGGTGAAGACGTTGCAGGGGTTTGCCGGGTGGAGACCCGTATAATAGTGACTGGGAGAGCTTGGGAAGGAACCATAGACAGAAATCCCTTGTCATCTCCAGTAGCCCTGGCAGGCACTGCAGGGAACATCTCTCCCTGGCTCGTTCCTTCCTTTCGACCTCTTGTGTTGCGGGTGGACTCTGCTTTGGTTGAACCAGTTCTCATTTCTATTTCAGTTTGCATTTGGTGGCTTATTTATGCTCCATGTGTGGCATTCTTTGCCTATATTACTCGAGATTATTTCCATTACATGGGTCATCTTGTGTGGGTTTATTTATTTGGAGTAGGGTTTTCTTTTTCATATACAGATAAAACCCCTGAATGCTGAAAGTTCATGTTAAAAATAGACATTTTTTTTTCTGCTTGAAGTCACATACATGTGATTTTTAACTATTTTGGTATCATGTGAAAAATGTGTCTTTAGATAATGTTGGCTGAAGGGTGCTGGTTGCTGGGGCTTGTTTTCAGTGTTAAAATTGAGGAGGCTTTTGCTGGTTGATGAGATCTAAGGGCTTTTTGCCCTGCTACTGAAAAAGAGGGAATTTTGTATCTTCTTCCTCTGTGAATTCTTCCCCTCTTCCTGCACTACAGTAACTGGCATTTCTGCCCTCCTGAATGCATAATGTCTTCAGGTCATTTTTTAGGCCGATATATGGATTCCCTGTGATCACTAGAGGGCTTAAATGCCAAGACCTCTTGTTCTATAAAACCAACAGCAAAACAAGCCCCAGATTCCCTTCCAGAATCCAGTCATTCCCTGTACCTGTGCCAATGGTGCTGTCAGTTATCAGGTTGGTTCCCAAAGTACTGAAATCTTAGCTTTGTAATCACAAGGTTCAAAGGGAAATGACACCAATACGAAAAACAAAAGGTTGACCTTCTGAAGCCTTTTAGAGAGGCTCTTTTGATGTGATGCGCAACCAAAATCCAACTTGGTGTTTAGGCTCTCTTTAAATGATAGCAAGTGTAGGACAGTTCACTACATTTCAAAATGGGCCTGACTTGCACTGAAGTGCTAAATATGTATATTATAATGTAGTTTCCCCCCCATGGCCTGTTTTTCCTGGTTTTGGTGGGCAAAACTATTTTTAATGCACACAAGCCTCAAGGCTTTGGAATAAAATTGCACCTTTTGGTCATGGTTGGGCCCTAAGCATGAGGCTCTTGCTATGTGCAGTGTAAGCCTGCTGGGGTGACAGCACTTCTTGAAATCAGCCTTTTTGAATGTTAAACTGCACTCTTAACTCCGTGTTTGAAATGTGCTATTTCAGAATAGGTGGAGGACACAAACTGTGTCTTTTTCTTGTTGAAATCATTTAAACTCTCCAGCAAATATATGTGGTCTGTGGTTTGTTTTGTAGGTGAAAGTTACACAGGAGCTAAAAAACATTCAGGTTGAGCAGATGACAAAACTTCAGGCCAAGCACCAGGCAGAATGTGAGCTACTTGAAGATATCAGGTAAGGTTACAGCAAATGCTACCAAAAATTCCTTTAAGGTCCAGTTTTTAGAAGAACATTGGAGTTACAAAACTCCAGGAACTGACGATGGAATTTCCTCTTTGGATTTCCTGCTTTTAGGCTGTTAAAGTTTTGACACAGCTGGAAATTATAACTGGAGCTAACACAATGCAAACCATTTTTTTCTCCTCTTCAATGGGGGAAATGGTAGAAAGAAAGCCCCTGTCACAAACAGCATGCAGAAAGCATTGGTCTTTTCAGCAGTGTTTCTCTGTAAAATGGACCCAGATTTTGATTTACCAGTTGTAAGAGGCTGCTAAAATGATGCAAATATCTTAAACCCACTCATGATTTATGTCTCCTTTTAACAAACACCTTTAAATAGATTCTATTTTTTACCATAAGAAACTCAGATATTTCCATGTAGAATTTAAAACTCTGCCCAGGTGAAGATCAGTAGGGAAACAGGACATAACTGTGTGGGTTTTATTCTTCATTTTACCTGATGTGATTGCTCCTTTTGAAGTTAAAAGTTTGCTTTTAGGAAAACACAGTGGTTGGGTTATTGCTTTATACGGAAGCTTAATCATTCCATTTGGAGAATCAATTTCTAGGATGGCTCTTCTGTCGAGTATTCAGCAGTAAGTTCTGTGCCATCCTGCTCTGTCTGGCAGTGTATAGTCCACCCATTACTTATTTAAACAAGATGCCTTGCTCTATATTTGTATATAAAATGCAAATGTGTTGCCTTTGACAGCTGCTGGGCTGTTTGTCTCGCTCTCCCAGTGTGCTCTCTTCATAAATCACACTGTGGAGGCTTGAACCTTCTCTCCCCTGTTTTTCTTCTGTGGGTGTTGAGACACTTTTTTGTCTGGGCAAGATCACAGCATTCATTTCCTTCGATTCAAATGAGTGGCTGTGCAGTGTTTAACTACCAAATGCTGAGTAATAAGTAACAGACTGAGCCAAGGAATTCTTTTCCCCCTGGATGGAAACATATTTTTAGAACATCCAGATCAGGTACTGCTGTTCTAGTCCAGGTTTTATTGGCATTTCCTATTTTTCAGGCGCTTATAATCACTTCAGTCTGTGCTCTGCTGAAAGATGTCACAGGCATTATTGGCCTGTGGTTACAAAGCCAGGAAAACATGTGAAAATGCCAGCTGAAAAATAGTTTTCTTTCATGTAATTTGGTTTTTCTACAGTTAGTTTATAAATTTGGATGTTATGGATTAAGAAACTGGGTTAATATATTTAATTCACTACCACAGTCACTAAATGTGCATAGTCTGACCAGCAGTCTTGCTGCAAGCAATCTGCCTTTGCAGAATCGCTGCCTGGATTTACAGATTAAACATTCCTTAAACATGGAATGATGTGATAGGATAGGACAGCTCTGTTGCGTCAATGATTTATTCAAACATCAGATAACAGAATAAGAGAGAACAAGAGAATTTTTGCTTAAAATTAATGCAAACTTGCTTTGTGATGCAGAGCCCTTTTAATTGCATGTTGCTGAGAAGGGGGAGCTGGGCTTTGAGGACTTGGTGGTGTTGATGCTGCGCTGGCTGGTGTGTGACACTCGTGTGAGACGTTGGGTGTCAACCTCATCATCCCATTACTGGTGTGTTTATGACTGTATTCAGAATATGCAGCCACCGTGATTCCGGAATGTTCCAGAAAGCAATGCTCCCTGGAACCACACACAGGATCTTTTTGTCTCTGGAACAGAGAATGATTTTTGTGGAAAGCACCCTGCTGTTATCCCAAAGTATTAAATTCTAACTGAAAACTGTTTATTTATCAAGGCTTGGGAGAGTTTGGGTCCTTTCATAACACTGTTGGAGCTTTTGGGCACTGCAGGAGTTGGACTTTATACTCTTTGAGTTGTACTGTTCGGAATTCTACAAACTCAACTGTCGCAGTGGCAACAGGGAAGTCTGAATGCGTGGCTTGCAAGCTAGTGATTAAGAATGCATTTAAAATTCACATTTAAAAGTGGTAAATAATTAAAACAATTTCTGTATTTATTAGCATATAAATGCAAGCATTCAAATCACACAGACAACCTTTAAACCATATGGTTTGTATGGGATTTAAAACTCTTAATTACATTTTTTTCTGTCATTTGAGTTCAGTTTTGTATACAACTAAAAAGAAAGGACACAAGGCAAAGATCAGAAAGTTCTCTTATGAATTCTAGAAGAACACAGCCATTATGTAGTGTATTAACAGATGATTTTTGGCAGCCCCCCACATCATAAGCATACTTGCCATTCCAGTAGCTTTGATATCTTTATGCAAAACTGAGCACTGCTTTAAATGTTTGTGGTTTGAAGGCTTAAACTATGTCATTTGGAGAGGATGAAGACTCAACTACTGTTTATTCCAAACAGGATTCTTCTTGGTCAGGGTTGTGGCTTATCATAGAAGGCTCATCTTTATAGGTGTAACTACCTTTTCTCCAGCCCCTTTGCAGATATTTCATAGCCTTGAGGGCTGCACATAACCAAAACCACCCTGTTTATTTAAAATATGTCATCTTTTTGAATGATAATGCAGTGTTTTGTATGCAAGGGTGTAGATTTGACAGGCTGAGAAAGTTGGGGCTGTTCAGCCTGGAGAGGAGAAGCTTCATGGAGACCTCAGAGCAGGTTCCAGTATCTGAAGGGGGCTACAAGGATGCTGGGGAGGGACTCTTCATCAGGGACTGCAGTGATAGGACAGGGGGTGATGGGTTCAAACTGAAACAGGGGAGATTTAGGTTGGATACAGGGAAGAAGTTCTTTACTGTGAGGATGCTGAGGCACTGGAATGGTTTCCCAAAGAAGTGGTAAATGCCTGGCAGTATTCAAGGCCAGGTTGGACATAGCCTGCAGCAACATGTTCTAGGGTGAGGTGTCCCTGCCCATGGCAGGGGTTTGGAACTAGATGATCTTAATGTCTTTTCCAAACCAAACCAGTCTGTGATTCTATGATGTAGGTCCTGGAGGCTGGGAAGAAAAGGCAACATATTTTGCTTGTGGAAAGCGTACCTGGGACTTGACACAACTGTGTGCTGGTTGAGTGGAAAGCTTTAGTGGGAGTTGGACAACTTTTGACACAACACAGTATCTATTTAACAAGAAAAATACCCATTGCAGTCTTAACAAACTCCGTTGTGTTTCTCTTCTTTGTGGAAGCTCAGTAGCAGTAACGCTGAATTATCTTTTCATGACTTGACAAGACTATAATACAAAATGTGTTTTGAAATGTGTTAGCAGATCAGTTTAAAAATACATCTCTGTCTTTAGGATCTCGATTTGGCTTTTGGTGTTACATTGCTTCAGACTTAGTGGCTGGGGAATTTGTGGAACAAGTGATTCAGGATGCTTGTAGGCTCATTGGCTCTGTTTTAGGCATGACATATGTTTATCTTCTGGAGCTCACTGAAGCTCCGATCCCCTTTCATGTGGTAGATATGTGCTGGCATTCCTATAACGAGGTTGTCTTTCTGCAACTGTGCTGCAAAAGGAGGTTTTCCCCCCCGAAAGGTAAATGTAGGTTTTGTTGCTGTCAACCAGAAATCCTTGCAAGTTTCTCTATGTCTAGAAGTTACTGCTCCACTCTCCACACCTGCCTGCTTTTAGTCAGCAAGTTATTTCAGTATATTTCTTTTCCAGGGGCAAACTGTGTTCTGAATAGCTGAATTTAACAGAGGTGTTGGCATTTTTCATAGGTTTTCTTTTGGTTTTAAAGTTTGCTTTGTATGGTGGTAGCAAATAAGTCACACATAGTAGTCTGAAGTTGCCCATGGTTTGCTGGGACATTGGCATGCTTTCCTTTTGGGTGTGTGCATGTGTCTGCAAAAGTGTAAAGCAGATAGTCCATATTTTAAGGCTGTATAATCCCTATTTTAATTCAATTTGGTATTTCTGTACTGTATTTTTATCTATTATATGCTGTGGACTTTAGAAACTTGCTAGGTGGTAGTTGCTTTACCTTGAAGGGTATCTCAAGGTCTGTTTCGTGTGCCTTTACAGTTTTTGCTAGATTTAGATTAGATCTTAGGCAGAAGCTCTTCCCTGGGAGGGTGCTGAGGCGCTGGCACAGGGTGCCCAGAGAAGCTGTGGCTGCCCCATCCCTGGCAGTGTTCAAGGCCAGGTTGGACACGGGGGCTTGGAGCAAGCTGCTCTAGGGGATGGGGTCCCTGCCCGTGGCAGGGGCTGGAGCTGGATGAGCTTTAAGGTTCCTTCAACCCAAACCAGTCTGTGAGTCTGTGAAAATGGCTTTTTAAAAGCTTGCCTGCTTTCATGTTTTGCCAGAGAGAGTGAGTGTGTAGTTTAATCTGTTCTGAAGCCTGGATTGCTGCTGAAGGGGCAGCTCTGCTTGCCAAGTGTTTCTCCTGTCTCCCTGTAGCAGCACAAGGATGGGTGAGCCATGTGGATTAAGGGAGCTCACCCACCTGAAGTCAAACCTGTCTTGACTTTTCTGTCCAAAAAGGGTATTCTTTGGATAAATCTGTTCCAGCTTCCTGTGTGGCTGCACAAGTGCTGCTGCTACCGTGAGGGGTACGAGGAAGAGTACGTGAGGAAGGAGAGGGAAAGCAATGTTGTACAGTAGCATTGAAGACACTGTGTAACCCCAGCCTCCTGCTCCCAATTCCTGCTGCTGCTTTGGGAACTACAGAGCTATAAAGGCCTCTTTATTTGAGTCTTGGCTATTTTTTGCTGTCTGGATGAGTTGATCCTATTTTGCTTCATTATTTTAAGTCTGTTGACTGCGTAGTGTGTTGAAAATAGATAAGAAGATTCTGTGATTTCTGGCTGAGATGGATTAGCAGTACAGTCCTTGCATTTGGTGGGTCCTGAATTTAACTTTTCAACATTCAACAAAATTCAGAGTGGAAAAGGAATTGCCAAAATCTGTAAGCTCCTCACCTTTGTGTGCTCCTGATCTGGATGCATCAGAACATCTCTGTGGTCTCCTCTGGCCTCGCTCCAACAGGTCCACGTCCCTCT